TTTAATTGGCCATATCTTTAATACGGTTTGATCACTCATCAATATCTGAAGCTACATGTATAATCTTGTATTACTGTAAATATAATACAGAAATTCTGTATAGAATGGCGTTTGCGAACAATTATTGTCTTCCTCTCAATCACCATAAGATTGATAAAAACAAAGTTAGAGCAAAGTTCTGACGTTGTACTTTGTAAACTACCAACACAGATTAACTTTCAGGCTTGTTGGGCTGTGATAGTGTTAAAAGTTAAAAGTAGAGTTAAAAGTTCATTTGTTTATCAATCAACAAGAATGATTACATCAGCAGCACCGATCGTTTTGGACTATCGGTTTACGGTCCAGATCAATTCTACCTCTGTCTGAGTTAACTTTATCAACTCCAATGTTCCAATGAGAATCGAGGGGTGACATGATTGACAGGTGTATCGCCCTTTTGATTGGCTGCTGCATCTCATTCTGAGGATCAAGACCAGTCGTGCACGCTGTTCGCTGCTTAACCTTCCATTTCTCTCTACATGCCATCTTGACGATTCTGTTCAGCGTCTTTTGCACGTTTTGACCGTTCTTGGCGCTGGTCTCGTAGTACGGCATGTCCCAGTTTGCCTTGCACCAAGCCTGGGCAGCCTTCTCCGACACGGCTCGGTCGGTGACGTCATTTTTGGTTGCTATGACAGCGTACGGAAACGAGGAGGCGTCTATGACGTCAGCGTAGAACTCGAATTCGTCCTTCCAGGCATCAAGCTTCTGAAATGTAATTATGAAAAAGACTGAGAGGGAAACGAAAAGATGTTTATGACGTCTAGATAAACCTTGAGTTCGTCCTTTCAGTCATCAAGCTTCTGAAATGTGATTATGAAAAAGACTGAGAGGGAAACGAAAAGACGTTTATGACGTCTAGATAACGTCAATTTCTTGGAAAGAAATGATACATAATTAGGAGAATGTCATCCCTTAGTAAAGCATCTTACCAAGTGCTGCCATCTCAGTCTGTTGACTTCTAAACTTTTCTCTCCTTTACTGACTGTAGGGTTGTTGAAAGAGAGTGGTGCAAAAAGACTGCCCTTTTGTTATGTCGCTAAAGACTACTATTATTTTCAACCATGTTGTTTGGGTGAAATCGTGTTCAGAATAGGGAATATTATTGCCACATGTGCTTTTATACTATCTCTGTCTCAATTTCACAAGATCATCATTTGAACTGTGTGGCAATTTTCTCATCCTAAAGTATGATTTTTGACAGGGTTTTGGGGATTATGTTTTGTATTTTTCCCTTCCCCACGACCCACCTTGAAGCTGATTTCATCGTCCACAGCAAAGCTGAGTATACAGACGTCCGTGTCCCGGTAAAATGGCGTCCGCAGGCTCCAGAACCTCTCTTGCCCGCCGGTATCCCAGAATTCCACCGTCACCTCCTGACCGTCAACTTCAACGGTCTTCACCAACATGTCCGTTCCCACCGTGCTTTGCGCGCCGTCCTTGTAAACGTCGTCTGCAAACCGCCGGATGAGGCACGTCTTCCCACCCCGGCGTTTCCCAACACAAGGGCCTTTATTTCTTCCCGCCCATCTCAAGAAACCGCTCTTTCTCGACGTAGAAACTGCCCATTTCTGTCACAGAAACACGTATTATGAGTATATCAAAAGACTATGGAAACTTAATCTCAATTGCTCGAATTTCATTGTAATCTTCCTTCATTTTTAACTACTTGATGATAAACAACTAACATGTCAGTTTTCCTAGCCTGGTTACCAGACCTATCATAGCACCCGAGTCCCACATCCTCTCCGCAAATAGAGGATTTTTGCTGAGAGGATGTAGGACTCGGGAGCTATGATATGTCTGGTAACCAGGCTATATATATAAGTTTACTACAGTTACATGTTAGTGGCAGTAGGTCTCAACAAGTAGCATAACTCACCTAGAATCAAGACACGGTCCATTCTATCAATATGCCTTTACAATGCATCTACTCTTTAGGTTGAGAGAATAGTTCAAGCTACTCATAAACGTATATCCTATGGTTTATTTATGATATAGACATATAAAGTCATACCTGGTATATTTTGCACTTCAAATATGGTACATGTGTCCTACAGACAGCAGTTGATCAAGTACTGTCATGTTCTAAATAGTTTGAACTTTGACCTCACCTTTTCTTTCAAAAAGAGTCCAGATATTTAGTAACTATGTACCTAAAACTGTTGTTGACAGAAAAGTAATGATATAGGTATGTTACAACGTCAGTAAAATTTTAAGACTATTTTCTGTTCAGGTAAACAACATAGTTCAAAGGTTATAGTTCAGAAAAACATAGGGGATATTGGAGGATACATAGAAGATGCCTGGGGGTCAGAATCCTGTATGTTATCCAACCATAACTTAGTGCTACATTTTATATCGGTCTTTCAGGATAGTTCGAGATTTGTCTCATGTCCGATAGAAACAGCAAGAAGTCACTAACATCTTGTGGTCTCAACAAGATTAAGGAATAGTTACTTAAGTAGTCACATCAACCTTTAAGAAATGCAAACCGTAGCATCTGTCGTAAAGGTTATATAGGGTGTCAACTGTCAAGCACTTTTAGTGTTTTTGTAGGACTTAACATTTACTAAGTATCCATTTTAGCACTGCAAAACAGGAGCTCTACTAAGGATGATGCTTGTTTCAGAGTGCTGATTGACCTTTTCGATTATATCTTGAATTCTTGATACCAAGATTTTCTTTCCATGCCTTCTGTTCACCTTTTCTTCATCTTCATTCCTCGCGTTCCATTCTTTGCCATCACGCGTGCCCCCTTGGGGAAGAAAAAAAAGAACAAAAGATGCATTCTCAGTGAGGAGTTTTTTCCCGCCATTTTCTGTGACCACGCCGGAGGCTGTTTGACGTCTAATGGCGGCAGAAAACCGCGTAGGAGCCCTCAAGCCATGAGAGCAGCCAGGCGTTTACATCAAGAAGCTTTCCTCACACATGAAAGCTCCTTGTTTAGATATATATTTACTAGGGAACCTTTCAACTATTCTTTCAACTTTCGTTCTTGCTGCCCCACAAAAAAATCATTTCTTTGAGGACTCTTTTTTCCCCGCCATTTTTTGTGACCGTGCATGGATCTGTATGACGTCTATCAATCAAAATGGCGGATGTAAGCCATGTGAGCGCCATCAGGCACCCACTTCAAAAATATATCTTACAAGTGAACGTTTCGCCAAAAAAAGCATGGATGGCAGAAAGAATAGCCGTAAGAAATGGTCCATACACTGATATCTACATGCCAAGGCTTCATAGGGGGCGCAATTTAATTTTATCCCTAACTACACTTTACAACCTAACAAATGCATCTCGACACTTCGTCTGTATGTACGGCTACTTTAGTCTCTGGTGCGTGTACAGAAAGCACTGTACGCTAGCTTTAACAGACTGTGAAAGCTCCGAAAGCCAACAAAACACCGCCTGCATTGCCCTCAGATCGAAGAGAAAAGCTCCACTTCATATAATTACCGAGACGAACAATAGAATCTAAGCTTTCCCTCCGGGCTACGCAGAAGTTAAATCACTGCAATAATTACAGGGTGTTACCCGCGCATTCATTTACACCGCAAATTTTGATCCGTAATTACAGAAGAGATCTTGAATCAGATTGAAATTTGACGAACTCTAAGTTCAGTAAGAACGGTCTATAAACTAATAGGATGTGTATAAAAGGCAAGGTAAGTTTTAAGATGTATAGATAACATCTGTGAGTGAAAAGGACCATAGATAATCTGATGGATTGACAAGACTGGTAAGTTTTGCCTTGAGGCTACTAGCAGCGCAACCACTACAGTTAATCACCTGGGCCATGTGAGAACCAAAATGTGTCTCCAGACTAACTCAGACTTTCTGGTGCTAATTTCATCACAGTAGACGCATAGACCCGTGTTAAAACATGGATTGGAGAAGCAATTTGGACTTTTCTGACAGAATTTTTGCTACAAACGCAGGCTGATGCAACACGTAGCCTGAAGCAAGATGGCGGACGACCACAAAATGGCGCCAAACAAACAACTGATCATGAGAGCGAGGCTTGTCTCAGCCAGTGAAAGTTGTTTGGCGAGTAGTTTGTCACGGTGGGCTGGCCATGTCATTTGATCCGGCACGTAAAATTCCTCTAAGCTCTGGGAGGGAAAACAAACTATGACTTCTAACCATCTAATCTTCTAATTGTATCGTCTGAAACCAATGACAAAAACTTTGCCTTTTACTAGGAGCAAGAAAATGCTACTGTTCAGATTACGTTGTTAATGTGTATGGTTAAGTATGTTATCATTTCATCTTTCCATGAAAACGTTTATAGTAGGACTAAACCTTTGGGAAAAGAGTGGAATAACTACGGAAAAATACCTAAAAATACCGAAAAAGGGATACAGGCTAGGATTTGTCAGTCTGTTAAGAAGCATCCATCCCAATAATTTCATCGACCTGGACAAAAAATGACGAGTAAAAATAACTTAACTGCCTTAATCATGCAAGAACTGGAAAGTGTGTTGAAAAATTGATTTTGCTACTACAAATCTTCTGATGAACTGCTATCAGCTCAGAATGGGTTCTCCTGTGATTTGGGGCAAAGGGCAGGTGGTGATAATAGAACAACTCGGTGGTTCTCTATGGGGTCCTCATGGGGTTTGCCGAAAGCCCACATTGATACTTTCTGCGAAAGACAAAAAATGTCTTCTGATTTAAAACTGTGAACATCTTTGTGACCATAACTTAAGTTTGAAAATGATCAATACCTTTGCTCCACAAGCAAGCAAACAGAGTTTCTTCAGCCCCCCCCCCCCAAAAAAAATGTTCGAAGTACAATATACATTTTTCTATCGTCATATAACATACCATGTATCCCACCAAATCGGCTAAAATCTACCAATCATGATATACGATATAGAATGCATTTTATACGCATAGGGTTTATGTAGATGACGCTTTGTGATTGACGATCCAGCTGTAAGCGGGTGACCCCAGCGAAAGACCCTCGAAGTTGTTCTTCCACTTTCTGGGTGTGAAAAGATGGCACATGTCCGCTGAGGAGTGGCCTGGAGAATCTGTGTGTGTGTCCGGGAGCTCTCCTCCTCTCCAAAAACAAGGTAGGATTCACAACTCCACGTCCTTGAAAAGTCTAACATTGCAGTTTACAATACAAGCTGCAGAAATATTGCTACAATTGCCCTTACACCAAAGCTAAGTAGTGTAACTATAGGTTCTATTGATGAAGCATTTGACATGGCCAAAGGGGGCGTATTGTTAACTATTGAAGAAAGTAGGGCCTCCTATAGACAATGTGACACAGGACGCTTCTGTTTTGCCCATTTTCTTGTCTTCGTAAAAACCTAGATGCTAGAAAACGTACATTTGTCTGATGTTTAGAGTTAATTGTTTTTCGCCGATTTTTAACTACCCCTCATGACCCATTCAACCAGCTGGCATAATGCAATTGTGTTTCTCCAGTTTCTAGAATGCCTTCACGTAAATTTTTTGGTTGTCGTGTTGTGCAGATTTTGAATTCGAGTGAATAGATTTGTTGGCAAAAAATCATAACGCTTTCGGATGGCTAGCTACACTTCAATGTCTTTCATGTCAATGTGTTGTTGTCGTCGTTGTCAGTCATTGTGTGAATCAAAAATGACCCAGGCCAGGTCTTACACCTAACCAACTCGCAATGTCCAATTTTCGAGATTTTTCTCTCTTTTAATTGTTCCATACACTGTCTTCTGGTTGGTTTCTCGTATTCACACAGTAAATACGAACGGCTGCTTTTGATTCATTAATTTTTTTTGCATAATTTAACAGTTTTGGGAGTCGATAGAAATGGCCTCCGTCAATTTCAATGAGTTTTGACGAATAAATATTGTCAGCATAGCTTTGTAGTAACAATGTCACTAGTTTCAGGGGTCTGACTATCTATAGAATAATATCGTATAGTATGGTCTGTATAATCATCAAGAAAATTAGTATGTAGTTAAAAAACATTGGAATACATGTAGAGTCTGTGGGAAGCAACATTATATGAAATTCGAAAGAATAGAGCTATCAACAGAATGTACGTAGGACTTCACCGTCCAAATTCCTTGTTCCAAATCTTTTTACAGTGACAGTTTTTTTCCCCGTATACGGTCAAGCTTTTGGAATTCCCTCCCTGACAAGTGTTTCCCACCAACCTACAATCTACAGGCTTTCAAATCAAACGTTCACCGCCATCTCTTGACATAGCCATGTTTCTCTCATATTTCTAGTTCAATGCCGAGAAGTACATGTAGTCGTATATGCCTTGCATTGAACCACTCTGTTAAAAAAAAGGACATACTAGTAGGTGTAGGGTCTTTCGTCTGTGCAATTTCAAAAAGTTACATGTATCTGGTTGTCCTGCATTGTGATATGTCCCTTTGTCGGTCTCATTTAGTCTTGTTAAATTGGTGCATACAACTTCAACACATGCGTACTCTACATATCACTAATTTGTACCTGTACCAAATATATCATATGTTGGGAGCTTGCAGATATGCAGAAGTTTGATTCTTGAGTGGTATTAAGGTTCACAATATGAGAAGGTATATTTTTCCCTTGGTCTTTGTGCATACCAATACAACACAGCATAGAACATTAAATATTAATATTACATAGCGTTAAAAATAACGATCTAGTAATTGTAGGAAACAAAATAATATGATTTCTTAAAAATGATAATCACATTCTAATTCAATCTGCATGTATTGAAATAAAATCTTAAGATCTTTCTTGGCTTTTTTAGGTACCCTTGGAAAAAGGTAACACCTCTCCTATAGAGAAAGTAGCCCTAGGCCAGGCTATCATTATTCATTTAGGGAATTCCATGGTCTGTTCTCTGAACAATTTACTGAACAGATGTTTAAGGTTGTCGCTATTTGACGCTTTGTTGTGTTTAATCAAAAGTTTCACATGTATCATTGTTTTGCATAGTAGAAAAAGGAAACTGCCAATACAGGCAAAATTGTAACAAACGATTGGAAATTCGTATTTACTATCCAGATTTGTCGAGAAAGATAAGCAATAGGCCATTAATGGTATCCTTCATGTAGTGCAAAAAACAAGATCGAATTCATATTGTTATCATATAACGAAGAGACAACGTGCATCCAGTTACAAGATAGAACATAGAGAAAGTTCCAGACATGTACACGATATGCCTGTCAGTGTAGAAAGTAAAAGGATTAAGAGACTAGTGGTATGAAGTTACCATCACTCAAGTAGAATGGGGTCATGTGGAATTATCAAGCATTCTTGGGCAGTCGTGGATTCAGTTGTGTTGTTACCAAAAAATTCATAGTTCCTTGGCGAGTCTATTGGGCATGTCACTACCTATTGAAGTAATACTACAAAATCAAAATCAAAATTTGTGGGGTCGTGCGGCGTAACGGCAGAGTGCTCGACTCGGAACCAAGCAGTCCCGGGTTCGAGTCCCGACGTGCCACCGATCTTGTGCCCTTGGGAAAGGCACTTTATACGACTTTACTCACTGCGCACAGGTGAAAATGAGTATTGTATCGTCCCCTGTGTTGGTGGCGGCATTAATATAAGTTTTTAAAAAACTGAGTGTGCCGTCACCACGCCTTGAAATATAAACCCTACGACGACCTAAGGCGAAAGTAACCACTTCGTAAGCAGGGTTTCTAGATATTTATGTTCTAGGAGGTACAGAAGTCAAAAGACAGCGTCAATCTTTTAGAGAAATCAATTCAATAACGTCGTCCAGTGAGGTCGGGTAATAGATAAAGATCACACCTTCAGGCATAGTAACAATAGTTCTCGTAACCTTGTCTTGTTGTATGTTGACCTACCTGTTGAGGAGAGCACATCAAAATAGATAATTATAAGCCAGGTAGACCGTAGGATTATATTTCTACGAGTAAGACTTACCTGAATAGAATTGTGTAGCAAAAATGTTTATAAAAAGAATTTTAATTTTTTTTTGCGGCTACAGACTTTTGTTGGAGTGTGATGCCATCTTGCTAAAAAGTATAAACAAAGATGAGGCTTGTGATTGCCCTGTGTATGCTGACTGTGGTCGTGTCAGCCTTGTCACCTGCGTCTGAAGAAGGTACGTTATTACAAACACCTGTCTGTTGTGTCATTTTTCACTTATAAAAACTATTAAACCACCTGTTTGAAGTTTGGCTAATGACTCAATCACTGAAGACCATGTGGTTTGTGTACGCACGGATACTTAAAACATTGGATCTTGAAATCATGTCCTGTATATTGTCCATACTGGTTATTCGTATTAATGTCTCCAGTTATGAGACATACATGTATTGTTTTCCTCAGCTGTTGGATGGTTGTTACAGAATGCAACTATGAATGTTCTAACATGTTGTCGTTATATGTTACATATAGCAGAACTACGAGAAGCGGAGAGAGCTCTCAAACATGCGGAGGAAAAACGTTCAGAGGATCTTCCTGCTCTTTTTCTTCGAGGTAAGTCAGCAAGGAATAAATACAATTCTACATTATTTGTCATAACGATCAATTAGTTTTCACTATGGTGGTAGGATAACAACATACATGTAGAGGTACAACATACTCCTAACGCATGTCCTAGTATGTATTTTAATACATTGATATACGATTTGCTTTCAACTTAATTGGTCAGCATACATACATAATCCCATAGCTCCGCCCACCTCCTTCAAAATGTAGAAAAGCAAACTGAAGACATGAAAAATTAATATATTTGAAAGACATGGAGCCCCTTTCTCATTGGTCGAACCACTAATTGCTATTCTCTCATTGGTTAAAATTGTGATCGACAGAAATTGTTTCTTGCATCTTGAACCCCTTTTCCTATACACTTCCTTACAGGCGAGGACGACTTGGTGGATGTCTTAGAAGACCCCAAACAGTCCGGGAGGGAAGTGCCCGTGGAGGATCTGAGGCAAACCCTTAAAGACGCGTTCGGGAAGGAAAAGAAAGGCAAGGAAGAACACAAGAGGAAAGGCCTGCTCGAATCACAGGAAGTCAAGGATCTGACCGAAGCTTTGTCAGAGTTTAAAGAAAAAGGGAAAAAGAAAAAGGGATCGGTAGAAGAAATTCTCGAAGACCAAGATCAAGAAAGGAAGTCAGGCAGCTCCCAGTCGAGCTTGGATAAACAGGCTAAAGCTGGTCTAGCAAGCAAGAAGGACCACGTCGGTTCCAAACATGGTTTCCCCGACACAGCAGAGATTGTGAAAAGGGAACAGGACATCCTGAAGCTTCTGGAAGAGCACATTCGCCGTGAAGAGGAGATGGGACTTTACGACGAAGATCAGGAGAGAGAGAAGAAGGAAAGGTTCCTACTGAACATTCTAACACAGCGGCTGGAAGAAGAACCGAAAAACCTGAAGCTCATGGTATCAGCTGATCCAGAAGGACTGTATGAGAAGGAAGAACAGTTTCTCCAGATGTTGAAGGATATGAAGGAGAAGAGAGGTAAAGCTAAAGGCAAAGATAAAGATGATGATGACGGAAGTGGTGAAGAGCCCTTCATACCCCCCGCGTTGTTCAAAGACCTGGCCAAGGCCCTGGGGAAACTGTTCTCCCAAAGTTTCCTGTTCTTCAGAGACGAGACCAGAAGAGAGAGCCACCCTCGAGACAAAAGAGAGATGCACCCGTGGCAGCTCATAGAAGAGGCGGCAGGGGAGACCGACAACCTGCAGGAGATTCTCGGTGAGGAGGGTCTTCAGATGTCTACCAGAGACCAGCCAGGGACCACATCAGATGACGACACAGAGGCCCTGCAGCTAGCTTTTCAAATAAGGGCGGTTCTACGGAAGAAGAGCACAGACAGCATGGACCCTGTGGAAGAAATAGAAGAGAACGGCAGCTTGGCGAACGTCCTTTCTGAAGTTCTCCATCTTGCGAGGGGCCTTCCTGATCCAAGTGACCACGATGAGCAACTGACCTCACAGACAACTAACGAAGAAGAGGGTAACAACATGCAGATAATGTACAAGTTAGAAGAAGAAGAGTACGATGGAGGTGACCAGGCCTTAGACATCCTCAACGGCTTGAACGAAGCCATACAAGCGGACGAGAATCTTCGTGGTTTGTTCGACCAGAACCAGATGTCGGCAGAGCTGAACCAACTTGAGAACATAGAAACAGAAGAGGAAGAAGATGACAATGGGATGGTCCAGTTCGTAGGACACAGTCCGGAACTAGAGGAGGACAATGAAGACATTGCACAAGACATGGTAAGTAGACAATCACAGCTGGGAGGCCAATGCCCCTTCCAGAAACTACAATATATATCAATGGATGAAAAAGATACTTATGTGGTAAATCCAGTCATCAGCAATCATTAATATCTGCACTTGTGTTGAATTTGTCCATTGAAAGTTATGAAAATAGTAATTTTCAACAAGTAAAATTGACTTTAAAGCTCTAAATATTTTTGGCGAATCAATGGTTCCTAGCTGAGAGTAAAACTGTTCTCCAACTAAAACAGTTGGACTCAACAGAATTTTCAGCTGAATCACTCGGTCTTCTTCAGACCCAATCAGGACACGTGACTGCACGTATGACGTCAGCAACGGGTCAAAGGTTGTTGGAAGTTGACATCGCCCCCCGTCTAGGTGAAAGAAGGTTATAGATGAATTTTTGTTTTGCTCTGTAGGAGGAGAGCACGCTTGATGAGGAGCCAGGGGACCAGGAAGAAGCAGTAGCGGAGGGGACGAACTGGTCGGACTGGTTCGGGAACAGTCTGGACGTGGTGAAGAAGACCCTGTCCATGCTCGGCACGTCTGACACCACGGCCGGAGAGATCAAGAAGAGAGACGTGTCAGAAGTACTGAACGAGGAAACAAACCGCGACACCATCGTCGCAGAGAGCCTCAGAGTCTACCAGATGTACCTTAAGGTGACCACATTATAATCTTTGTGGGGTCGGTGGCGTAACGGCGGAGTGCTCGACTCGGACCCAAGAGGTTCCGGGTTCGAGTCCTGACATACCACCGATCTTGGCGAAAGGCATTTTACACGACTTTCCTCACTTAACTCAAGTGATAATGAGTATTGTCCTGTCTCGTATTTGTTTCTATGTGTTGGACACAATACCAGTAACAGCTGCCTGTATCCCCTGTATTGTTACAATTTCAATAAATCAAATCAAATCAAATCAAACCAATCATTAGAAAATGGATAGCACTCCAATTGTACAAGATACAACTACTTGTGGCATCTACTGCTATATAACAATATACACACTACTATATGAGACTACCTTACAAATGATTACGTAGTATGAGATGACAATATGCTTCTAAAATCATGATACTAGTGATTTAACTAGCTATGCTTGGTATTGGTGCAGTTTTCAGATGGTGCATTGTGTATTACTAGCATTCTAGGTATGAAAATCATACTTAATACTGTATAGTATCGACGGTCTAGCACTTCATAGGTGATGTAAGCACGTTGCTGGTGATATCAGGGTACGAACTTGTTGCTATCAATTGGTAGTGGTTTTAAAGCCCATAAATTAGTGAAAATGATATATTCCTGGCCAACACAGATTGATAAAACACGTTTCTTCTCTCCTTTAGGATCAGGACGAAACACCATCCAAGAAAAGCGAGGTAAGCAGAATATCAGTAGTTGTTACATGATCAATTTGTAACATTTTGTACCATAACTTGATTTTGCTTCAAACATGTCAAGGCCTATCTTTTAAAGAATGCAGCAGGCATTCAAGCATACAGACACAGTTCAGGTATATGCTTGTATACCCTAACAATCGAGTCATTCAGGGACAAAACAATGAGACCCTGCGACCTTGCCTTTTACTTACAGTCAATAAGTCTGAAATAAGTCCATTTGATCGAATCTAAAAGAGAAAACCATGTGTAATTGGAATAATTTCGTTTGAACTCGGAGGAAATGTAATGAGCCCCAATAAAAGTTAACCCCTGGAACGTAACCCCACTTGCTCTACTCGTAACCCCAATTAGCTATAGCGTGCCTCTGCTCGACATGCAAGTGCCTCACGGGCGATGTCAGGGACTTGACGTGCTTGTATTGTAAGTTTTATGAAACATGGCCTGTTTTCACATAAGCTGAATGAACTGTTAACAGAAGGAGTGCGTATTGTACATTTCCCAGAGTAGTTCGGACACGTCTGGCAAGCTTGCTTGGTATATATATGCTGTATCCCAGTACTAGTGTCTTTTGTCATCCACCCAGCGTAGCATAGCTAAACCTGCCTGTGGCGATGTGGTTACTTATATAATATGTACTGTCAACAACATTCAAGGTTGGGCTTTTGGTGATTTTTGGCGACGCCTAAGGGGCGGAGGCTAAATCTATTTAACACTCAATTCTACATCCGAAAGGACAGGCTAAACTAGGTGTAGTTTGTTCTTTTGAAAATTTATATTTGAGGTGAAGCATGTAAGGACCAAGCAAGAAATTAACCGCGAAAAAAATGAGTTCTTTTTAGTTCTAATTAGAAATTAACCATGAACCTATATGGAACCTGTACCGTACCTATACGCGTGTATTAGAAATAGTTTTGTTTAATTTTCAGGGTGTCTGCAAACGCACGTTCTCTCCATGTCAGCGAGACGCCGACTGTTGTCAGGGGTCCTGCAAAAGGCTCGTTCAGTAAGTTTTACTTTTATTCTGTATTTCCGTGTACCGTGGCCGACAAGTACACACATGCGTCGTACACGACGCAGGTGTTCGCGCAACGACGCGTGTGTACTTGTCGGCCACGGTATCTGTGAATTCATACCTCAACAGTAGATCAAATCATAGTTGTCCGAATGCATGGGTTTTCTTTATTGTTTGTTTCTTGCTGCTGAAACATACATCGACAGGGAAAGATACAAATGTGTTGCAGTTGTTACAACAGTTTTAAGTATGTTTTGATGCCAAATGTAAAATAAATGTTGTATTTTGTTTTCTTTTTCTCCAGTAAAAGTCAGATCATGCCCTACTGCGGCTGACATCAGTGGACAACCCAAGTCATTCTGAAATTCTGAATTCTCAACTTAAAGACTTAAAGCCAAGTAGAGATACGGGTTTACTAACATGGTGTACATTTAAGCGGTCATTCGTAGTAAAGTACATGTCAGAATGTTGATCTGGTAAAGACTTCTTTTCTTGTAATCAATCCAATTCAATGAGTACAATAAGCTGTTTTCTTACATGTAAATCTGAAAATACAGAGTGTAATTTTATACAAAGCATACTTCTGATTTTTGGAACACAGGGTATCGTTTACTAACATTGCATGATAAAGTTTAGTCTCTAGTGATGAGTCCACATATACAAGTATGTCTGTGTAGATGGCAACGGCTTCATTGGTAAGTTTCTATCTTTGGTGTAATAATCTTGAAATATATGATTGATTTACGGTGGATTTTTTATGATAATTTATTCGGAAGCTCCGTCGGTGGTAGATCTACAAACACTCGCAAAAGCATCTCAACTCAGCTGCAACTTTCTATGCAAGAACAATAAAACAACGATACATTTCAGGCAGCTAGCTGTAGCCAAATTACACAGTTGCATTCTATTTTTTGCATATATTAGCAGATTTTCCAACCAACTGTTGCGACATAGATGAATTATGATACGCTCATAATTTAAGAAAATGTACTTAATTTATCATCATAAGGAGTGATGTATATTAAAAATTGAAATGGGATTTTGATTGTGTGTGTTTTGTGTTGTGTGATATTTAGATTCAACGTGGTTTTGTGCACTCAGAATAATACAAAAGCATTGATAGTGGGAATTTTAATTTGTCCACTAACCTTGCCCAATGCCATGCTGAACAGATAATATGAAACTATGCTGTCTTGTCGGTCTTCTTCTTTGCAGTCTTCTTCTTGTCGGTCTTCTTATTTGAGACCCCCCAATCCAATGCGATTTCAGAGCAGCAAAACTGGAAATATTATGAATAAGGCAATCTGTATGATATTGACACATACTGCTTCACATTAGCACATTTCAATCAGCTTTATTTCATACTTATGTATGTAAAACTGCAGAAACTAGCCCCAAGATGAATCCTTTATTTTATGGGTGGTAACCTAAAAATCAGCCAAGGGCTCTTCCAGTATCCATTTTCTGTCAGAATTTTGGGTGTCTTTGCTCCATGAGGGTTAATATGCATTGGAGTAGTGTGGTTTCAACTCAGTATGTAGATAAGTGACTAGAATATAGACTTTGAAAAATCGGGTTTTCCAAGCCCTAAAAACTTCACCGGATGCCTTTAAAACAGACAACATAGGAGTAACTGGTGCGTCTGATACCTCATGACCTTTGACACTATAGGTCAGCCCTACAGTAGCCTGCCTCTAGGCAGTATGCTGTTATGTCGTTTAACTGCATACTTTCGTACAAAGGGCTACCATACGACAGAACTAGTACAGAATTGACGTCCTCTTAGAGATATCAAAAAGTATGTTGTGTTCGTCAGTCATCATATTTACCGAAGAACGAACAGCAGTGATAGCAGTAGTGGCTACAGGCCAGAAAGAAAAGTTGGGATTTGGCTAGTCTCCACCTGCACCGTGCAGGCAAATGGACCCTCTCTCACCTCTGTCCGAACAACTCCTCTAGCCAATTAAAAACCCTTTTTAGACCGATTTCTACTATCTATTCAGCCTGCAAAGGAGTCTGGTGGGGACTAGAATTTGGCGTCGTAAAGCACTCAGCAGCACTAGAAAAGTGGACATCAAGGTACCGCCTCAGGCTTTCAACACCATGGAGGCCACAATTAACACCTGTACAGCTTCTAGTGTCACTGCGGGTAACCATGTACTTCTCCTAACACATTTTGATGCAGACGAGATTGAAGGATCAAAATTCATCGTTTCATCACCGAATTGGCTGAAAAACGATAAACAAAAATGATAATATCAGTATTCATTATATTTGTTATCTTTACATCAATCTTTGATGACAGCATAGATAATTGTGCATCTTTTCTTCTTACGCGGGAAGCGAGGAGAAGTATACCTGAGGGCTCTGTACGCTTTTTCTCGAACATCTTGGTGTATTTTGGGCCGAATTATGTAGCAAAGTGATACAACTCACCAATGGAACTATGCTTTTCTTTTCATCATTGTATTTTCAATCCAATGACCGTTTATGTAGATTTCTAGCAAAGTTACTGCTGGTTTAAATCACGTTTTTGTACACAGAATGGAGATGAATACAGAACCCATCTTAATTACTAGCCTGTAAGAGGAGAGAGGAATTAAGTAACAAAAGAGAAAGTTGTCTGACCTGTTATTTAAGGCATGAACCAATTCTGGAATCCAGGAGGTGACATTAAAATCTACAGATTGCAATCTCTAAGCCTATTCTTAATAAAAAGATAAATCAATGGTATTCAAATAGCTACACATCTTTGCTGCCCGCCTATATTTATTTTACTTGTTTAGAAGTGAAGTTGCTGTACCCATTTTGAAAACAAAAAAGATCTGCTCACCCCCAGTCTCAACTTGGACGATCCCTACTAGGAAACCAGGTTTTTGTCCAGGTGTCTTCCCGCCCTGTCTACTTTGAAGATCTTAAAGGAAGATAATAGATCTTCTTTCGTCTCGGTTAGTATCTTCATTTTTGACGGTAAGTTGTCTTATTCTTCTGTCTTTGCTATCGTATAACTAGATGAATTTGGTTTCACTGAGGGGAGGGGTGTTCTATCTCTGGATGTAGGAGTAAGCAAACGGCTTTGGCCCATATAATTGTGAGCTTATAAAGATGTGTAAAGATGGCGGCATGGGAAGAAGGGGTGTATCTCAGCGAAGGGAACTTTCTCGTGTGGTTCAATTGAACCATCAACTTACTAAGAAGGTATTCTAGATTGTGCCCTTCTTTGGCTTGAATAAGGCATAACACAATGCACAGGTATTCCTTTGGGGATAGATGAAATGCAGGTCTATATCTAAGATTTTGAAAAGGTACCCCAGATGATGTAACCTTGCCCTGAATAAGGTATAAAATTTCTGCCCTGGAAAAAAAATTTAATCTGCCTTTCTGATTATTAGCGAACTAAATGCTACATTCTACAGATTGTGTTAGTGAATTCAAACACACATGGGTAGTCGTAACTCCATTGTTTTTAGTTAGTACACATCCTACCAAGGAATGGTGCTGAATACGCCCCCTAAAATTACAACCTTCTTTAAAAGGACTTGTTGGACTAGTTTGGGCATAAAACAAGTCTGCTTTCGAAGCTTACTTCATACAGAGAGAGATCATCTGAAATTGAACAGGATCACCAAAACCCTCATACGATCCCAAAATCTGACATTCTTTGGAAAGAAATGCTTTTTCCTACACTTTCTTCACAGTCAGAAAATCAAAAAGATTTCTCCAAATTTCTGAGGTATTGTGGCTTTTTTTTATTCCAACATTTCATGACTAGACATGTGACGGCAATCGCAAGTTATATCAACTAATTTTATGCCATCACCAACGCAGATAGAGGACAAATACGGAACAGGACAATACTCATTTTTACATTTTTAGAGTTAAGTGAGGAAAGTCGTGTAAAGTGCCTTTCGCAGCAAGGGCACGAGATCGGTGATATGTCAGGACTCGAACCCAGGACCTCTTGTTTCCGAGTCGAGCACTCTGGAATTGTGGCTGACACAAAGATTCATGTTTGTCTATTTTTCTTTCACAGGACGGTACAAATTGAGCTGTCAGGATGAGGGCTGTCTACCTCCTGTGCCTGGTGCTGACCACAGCAGTGGTTCACGGAAAACCCAGAGTGAAGCGAGATGGTATGTTTATATCGGTAATCTGCATCGAAATTGCATCAAACTATACAGACCGTTTAGATGGAAACTAAAAAAATAAACTCATAGAAGGAAGTTTTATGTTCAGAAAATTGTCGCATTGTTATGGATATGAATTCACAAAATATTGTAAAATTTCATCGGATATTAACAAAAAGAAAGCCCCTCTTGCAGACTGCCTGATCTGTTTAAACACAAACATTGCTTTGTTGGGAAAATAGTGTAGGGTATACAAAATCCCACCGCTGCCACCAAGTGTAGCGAGGCCGAGATGCAAAGGTCTTCACACAAATGAATGTTTGTCAAAACATTTGCTTCAAAACACATTGTCTTCCTCAAAAACAGCTGATTTGCTTGTGATTTCTCTACAGCTAAACCGCAAAACAGCGAGAAGAGAGATGCGTTCATGTCCGATCTCCAAAAAGTGCATTCTTTCGAACAGCAGTTCGCCAGGGATGGGCAACTGCACGACAAAGGGCTGAAAGCCGCGCAGGCCGTTCGCGAGTTCCTGAAGGTTGGAAAAGCGTGGGAGGCCAAGAAGAGAGGTCTGAAAGCAGAGGAACACCACTCTAAGGAAGAGGTGGTCGGAAAACGCGGCGCTTTCATGGGCGACCTCCTGAGCGCTCTTCAGTTCGAGGAGAAGTTCAGCAAGAAGGGTCAACTCTCCCCGAATGAGATGAAGGCCGCAGAAGCCGTCCGCGAGTACCGCGAATATGGCCAGGCTTGGCAAGAGAGGAAGAACGCCGAAGGCCGGAGGGAGAGTTTCTTGTCCGATCTGCAAAAGGTCGCCGGCTTCGAGAAGCAGTTCTCCCGCGAAGGAAAGCTGTCTCCACACGAGCGGAAGGCGGCGAAGGCAGTCGGCGAGTACCTCAAGTCTGGACGGGCCTGGGAAGCGAGGAAGAAGGGGTTGAAGGTACCAGAGAGCCGCTCCATCGATGAAACGAAGGAAAAGCGAAGCGACTTCCTGAACATGCTCCAGGAGACGCTGGAGTTTGAGAAGCAGTTCTCCAAGAAAGGAAAGATGTCTCCTCTGGAAAACAAGGTGGCCAAAGAAGCCCGCGAGTTTCTGAAGTATGGCCGAGCTTGGGAGAAGAGTAAGAAGAATTGAAGACCGTAGGAAAAAAGGCAGTTTCAGACACAGAATGGCAAAAAATAACCATTCTTAAATTTGTCTGATAGTCATAGTAGGAGATGTTAGTGGTAGTAACATTAGATTTGGGAAAATATTTCGATGTTTTGATTGACAAAGGGTTTGGTAGATAGATGTTTAACGGTAAAATATAACTTTTAAGAGGAAAAGTATCATTTCACTCACACTTCCATCTGCTTCAGTTCTAGAAAATAGGAAAGCATGAATCTCAGAAGACAACAGCCGGTGTGCTGGGACAAAATATACACCTAACCCAGAATAGACCCGGGGATTTTTTGGTCAGGGGTATATTCTGGCCTGCTACACCGGGACCGTGACAGAAAAGTGGCGGGAAAAACGACAAGAAAAGGACAACAGCCGGCGTACTGGGCCAAAATGTAGTACTATCGAGAATGTACCCAGGGATTTTTTTGTTTAGGGGTATTTTTCGGCCTGCTACATCGGGACCGTGACAGAAAAGTGGCGGGAAAAACGACAGGGTCGGTCACAGAAAATAAATGCAAACGCAAAACAAAGTTTAGAGCAAAATCACAACCAATGACCAGCAAATATACTTTAATCAATGGTTTTAAGAGAAAAGGTAAGGTAATGTTGGTTATGGAGTTCTTAAGATTAACAGTCGAGCTAACTGAATTGCATGTTTTTGTGAAGAAAGGAGTTGAAAAAAATGTGGGAAAAGGACACTTACGGACTTGTGTGTTTATTTAGACTACTTTATGTGTGTTAACCTTCATATTACGTTCGTGAATATTTGAACTGTAAACAGTTGTTTAGTTGTTGCGAATGTGTACACTAGGAATAGGCGTGTGTATTTAAAGAATTAGGTCGATTTGGTCAGCTAAGGGCCACCTTTCACAGATTGTAAATCTCTTGACACATGCACAAAAGCACTATAAAAGCTTAGCCTTGAGGCCACATGGGGCTATAATTAATCAAAACGTTTTAAAGTGTGGATTACCCAAAATGTGCTTTGGGATTACATAGAAGCAAAAATCATGGAGATGGAGGAAACATGTTCTACATGTTCCAACTTTAATAATTCCAGCTTTCTGGTGGCAGTAGTTGTTTTACCTAAGCTGAAAAAAAACGCTTGCATTTGGCGAAGATATAAAACAACTGACAGGGCGTTACGAGTATTAACAATCGAAGCACTCGTGCCACCGATCTTGTGCCCTTGGGAAAGGCACTTTACACGACTTTCCTCACTTAACTCAGGTGGAAATGAGTATTGTCCTGTCCTGTATTTGTCCTCTGCGTTGGTGGCGGCATGAAATAAGTTGATATAACTTGAGTGTGCTGTCACCATGTCTAGTAATGAAATGTTGGAATATAAAAAGACACTCGCTGTCAGTGCAAGGATCTAGAATTGAAACATAACGCGAAAAATAATGCCTATATACAAAATGTAGTTGTTTTGAGAAACACAAGAAGAACAAAACTATCGGCATTGCTATCCTTTGATCACCAGATAAACAAAAAGACATATGAGATCGAAGCTTGAGGGTAACCACACAATTAACGTGCCTTTGATAAGAAATAATTGGTCTTCCAGTGCCTTCTCTATACATACAGGACGTCCTGTTGGTAATTAGTGAATAACCATGTATAATGACAAAATTACCCAGTAACAACTCTGAAGAGTCCTCGTAAGTGTGTCATAAGCTTGCGAATGTAGGGCTGATTTCTGTCTTACAATGTGTTCGATGAAGTATGTGAATATATTGAAAACATTGTGAGACAGAAGTTAGTCACACATTTGCGAACTAATGAAGCACATATACGAAGTCCTGTAGTTACCAGGCAGCTTCGCAATCATGCTCAAAACATGGAGGAGGTCACATTTGCATTCCCAACTACTTACAAAATACAAAAGATTTACAAAATTCAACAGATTTTACGTGTCCCAAGAGTGACATTTTCGAAAATAAAGTTGCTATTTGCCGGTCTCAGAGGGTCTTGTTTTGATCACATTTTTTACAAGTTAAAACTTGAAACTTCCTAGTCTCCGCCATTTTGTTTTTGCCAACGTTCGCCTATCACTCTCGTTCCCATGGACTAGATCTCTAACTGTTAAAGTGAACTCAAGTTAACCCCTGTGACCTAGAAGTAATGACTCTATACTATTCTTTGCCTACTAGGAAAGTTGGCTATCTCAATAGCAAATACACAAAAAAATATTGGGCTGGAGACTTAAATTTGTTGCACTTTATAAGAAGTAAAGAATAGAGTCTAGCGTGACAAGAGTTAAAGAATCAACGCGGCCATGTACTGTTCATAGTGTTTAGCATGTCGTAGTACTAGGTTACTAGTGTTAACATCTTCATTAAGAGGATTATAAAAGTTTTGTGGAATTTTACAAAAAGCCATCATATCTGGAATCAAAGTATGCGCTATCTTTACATCGCTCTTTCTGACAGTTGGTGACAATACGACCTTTCAGCTAGACGAGAGAGCCCACTGGGAACAATTTGCCCAGAGGGTGTTTTTTGATACCTCACTACACTCGGTCCAAACGTTGTAAAAAAAAATCAAGAAAACGTTGCAGAAATTCTAATTTTCCTTTCATTTTTGTGAAGGTGACCCACTGGCAGTTGAGGAAGATCTTCAGAGATGTTGACGATGATGAAAATAAGAGTTTTGTACGCAGAACGTAGATAAGCAAGGACAAATGTGATAATTGTGATCCTCAAGCGTCCTCAGGGCAAACGTGATCAAAGCAGCAGAATGGAAAGTTGTCAAACTCGTTTTTGCATGTACCAATTTCAACCGATCTGAGGGGGTAAGCGGTACATTTTTTTAAACCTTTCTGAGTAAAAAAAATGTTGAGAGCTTTCCTTTGAACCAAATATATAAACGGTACGTTAGAACCTGACATCCATTTCCGTTCATCTAAATTTCTTTCGATTTTGCTACTCTAAACATGGCTCAATTGATATAAAATGGGAGTTGTTCACCCTACAGAAGTTGGACTATTCCTGTGCTGTGTCGTCTTTGTGTGGCACTTTTTTTACAGGGACGCCTCTAGTGTCTCACTTCACCAAGAGCTGAAAGGAAGACATCGGATCTTCTTGCGGCTCGGGAAAACATCTTCATTTCTGACGGTAAGTTGTTGTCCTATCGTACTATCAGAGCGGATCCTGGGCTACGAAAATTGCGCGTGGGGTACGGACATACAAGCACCGAACGTTGTGAGAAAACTGGCGGGGTGGTGGGCGTGTCTCCCGGGCATGGGACTTTCACCCGCTGCGCGACTTTGGTGCCACGGATTTTGTACGGGTGACAGAAGCTCATAAATGTATTATTATACTACATACCTTGGCCCGATTGAACAGCTAACCATCTGTAGCTAAATCGCCGTTGAGTTTTCCTTTGCGATGATGCAAATGCTGAGAGCAAGGCTAGGCGTGTATTTTTCCAAGTCATGTTTTACTAGTAGTGTTGAAGTGCTTTGAACAAAGTGGCTAAAAATTGCATGGGTAAAAAACCTTTAAAAGGCTCAACGATAAAGACACAACTTAAGAGAACAATAGAGTGTAGATTTCGTCCATTTTTATCGCTGCGATTTCACATCAAAGTTTTACTTTTGTGTTAGGCGCCGTAGGTCATGAAACGTAACCTTGAAGATTCTGTCCCAGAATATGATACAAAATCCTTGAATACATAAAAGCCCCCCGGCATGGAACATTGTGTCATAGATTTTAGAAACTGACAATCTTTTCTGGGGAATAAACATGTGGTATAATCATAATGGTAACTGTTTTATCAAACTTTCAACCGAGTACCAGTCATCACCAGTATTCTATATGTAATGTTCAATGATGGCTAATGGTATCCTGTTTGGTACACATGATAACACAAAGTCGGTTATATACACATGTAGATGAGTTAACAATATATCATTAGACGGTTTTTGCAAAGGGCATCCAAATATTTGAAGTGTTTTGTCTTGTCGAGACGATCCCAAACGCAAGTAGCACCAAATCATTGAGCATCAAAATTCCCTAACACGGTGAATTATTTTTTGTTCTTTATATTAAGAAGTTGTCGTGCAGTTTAACCCACACTACTGTGGCATTTTACACACTGAATGATTGGAAAATCTTCTGTTCAAAACTACGTACTGTATCTCTTCGTACGATTTTTACTGCATTGTAACCGTGTCGTAAAGGATCGTACTAAATCGTATAAGTGTCCTTGCGTGTTGTTGCATCGAGTGTATACTACGCATGGCACGCACCAGGTTACATCTAAATGACTCCATCAAAGACATCTGCTTTGACAATATCACCTGGGACAATCGTATCCCACATGATGTCTTTACTGTCCCCTAAATTAGCACTTCTATGTTCTTGGTTCACCGGCTCGACAGCAACAGTCTATCGTGGTTGGATGGGTTTTCTTTGGGGCTGGTGAAGCTCTTCCCCGCCCGCCTGAGCTAGGTTCCCCCGGTAGGTTTTTAACGTCAGGAGTTTGATCGTGGATTAGGTCCACCATCTCCCCGGCCAAAGTCTATTAGCGTAACACTACCGGGCGGCCTGTTGTACTGGGCGGGGGGAAACTATTAGAGCCCCGAAGACACAGCCTGCCCCAACTACCATGCCCCAACCACGACTAGACATGATACCAGGTAATGTAGTAGTTTGTATCGACTAGTACTGTCGATTACTTTAATATAATATATTAATATAAGTACATCAGAAATCAGCACGTGTACCCTCCAGGCATCAGCTATTTGTCGTTTGGCATTGCCGTTGAGTTTCGAGCTGGTTTGAGATGGCCACAAACATTTGTACTCCAATTTTCGACTAAAATCTATCAACACATTCTGTTTCGTGTCATTTCGAGAAATTTCAGTGTCTAGAACAATCGCTGCTGAGAGTTCTTGCCTAAAATGCCCTTATTTTAATATCACGCGCGCCCCCCTCCCTCCCTCGTTGAATACCTCTCATTATATATGCACAACAAAATATGTCACCCAACAACTTCATTGGCCACGGGCTTGCTAATCTCCAACTGATCTGTACAATAGTTAATATCTTAGATCGGTAGTTACTGGATTGTGTTCTAAAGTGCTCGGATTTACAAAATCAACATCGCTACCTACTTTAGGTATTGTCGTTGACAGGTGTTGATTCAACTTTTCATGAATGTCGCGGTGTTCGAAAATCTACTTGTGTTCCATGTACTATCATCCAGAAGAGAAAATGGTAAGCTATATTCTTAGTATAGATTAATATCATTTAGCAAGGTGAATACAGACGAGAACATTTCAACAGTCACTGTAGGCGCAAATATTGTTAACATAAATTATGCAATGTCACATTGATAGCACTCTTTATGATGCCTTACAATGGGTGCACTGTTTTGTACATATCTACACACACGTATGGCGCCCATTTTTGAACCATTTAATGTAGCCTTAGGGCACGCCTGGTCGTAACGCATTATTAGTATGGCCAGCTGACTGTAGGAATGGAATGTATTTCAATACCAATGGTGTATCACTGCAGCTAAACATTAGAAAAGTTATTTTCAACACATCACTGTTTGTTTGATAATCTTCTGATCTGTCGAAGTTGGAATCCATTGTTTCTTCGTTTCTTTTTGTCACCACCCTGGACTGTCATTGTGGAATGTATATAATTATAGGGTAGGAGGGTATTTAGGCAGGCGTCCTCGCGCTAACCTCTTCTTTGACACCCCTGAAATCTCATTTATCAAAAGTGACAGAACATAAGTACTGATTACCTCTGTGAACGGAGGTATTGTGTTAAACTCTGAATGGGTCTTGATAATGTTTCCTATCTAAATAGGTCCTGGAGAGATGAAGTTGATTCTGTACCTGATTCTGGGTCTCTTAGCGGCTTTTCTCGGCACTGCAGCTAGTCGTCTTTTCCTTTTTTTTTAAATTTTACTCTGGACACGCCGTGGTCTTTTGGTAGCTGGTAGCTTTCGACGTGGAGAAGTATTTGTGTAGGACGCCCCCCCCCCCAGCAGCTTGTGAATGTTTTGTAAGGCACATGGGTGACTATAAAGTCATGTAAGTTACAAGCCAAGAAACACAGGTTAAACTATGACCCTGTCAGCAAAAGTGTGCTGAACACGCCCCCTGGTACATCATTAGAAAGTTGTTGGACTGGCTGGAGGGGGGGGGGGCAACACTCCAGGCATCCGAGAAAAAGTGCATGTTGCGGAGGGAATATCTTACTAGATCTTAGGGTGCATGGATCTCTGGAATGCTTCACATAATCTTTATTTGTTTGGAATGGTTATTTTAGCACATGTACATGTCACCGTTCAGTTTGTAACAAAGTGCCCAAAATAGTCCGTATCCTAGAAAAAAAATTTCCTTCAAAGTTGTGGTCCATTTGGAGCCTTTGTTTGGTTATAAAGAACAGGCAGGGTCTAAGTTTGGTCAGAAGCCCCAGTTTGGTCAAACTTAGTTTAGTTCACCAGGTTATCTGGCGTAAGAACTGATGTGAGTTGTGTGGTGTGGTGTGGTGTGGTTATCACAGCGCGGATGGATATAGCCAAAACTGGTGGCAACAAGACGGATGATTGGCATGATTCAAGTTGAGAAAAATGTACTATTTTTGCCTCACAGGACGCTACAAGCTGAGCTGTCAGGATGAGGGCCGTCTGTCTCCTGTGCCTGGTGCTGACCACAGCAGTGGTTCAGGGGTATCCTGTCTGGAAGCGAGATGAAGGTACTGTCATATAATCCTCATCGAGTTCAAAATTCAGTACTTTCTCCTTAACTACGCGGCCACACTGGTCGTGGGTCGTCGCACGAATTTTATTCCATATATAGAACCAAGATATGGTTGGACTAGCAATAGATACAACCAACCACTGACAATAATTTGAGACAACCTAAGACAGCTGCATTTTGTAGGACACAGTCTCGACTAGACAAGAAGGCCCTCAGATTGTAATCGTGCGATGATCGTACAACGTATGTGATCGGCCTCTACTGATAGTTAAACCGACAGTGTGGGCTGTTTCAGTTTTTAGGGGAGGATGCTAATCAGTCATAGATTTCTGACGACATTGACATTGGAAAGATGGTAGCGTCAAGGATGATATCCTGCCTATTTCACCCCCAATTTCGCCCCACCCCGGGAAATCCTGGCTTTTGGTGTGATGCTCATTAACAATGCACTGGAAACCTGGATGGAGGCGGAAGCTTGTGTACACGGCGAACTTGTGACGTGAACACCGGGTCAAAGGTGGTTGGAAGTCTGTACCGGCCCCCGTCTCTGTTAACACCCCCCATCCTTGCACCCCGCGCCACTGGCGGCGTCCACCACGCTTCATCCACCTGAGGTAACACCGGGTACTGCAACCTTCCCACGCCCTGCCAGCTTCTCGCACTGCCTTTGGTGACTGCAAACTGCCTGCTTCATCGACGAGACGAGATAGTCTATCCCACGGTAACTAACGGACATGAACGGCCTGCTGAGCTTTAGTCAACCCGGGGTGAAAAACAACCCCTCCTGGGGACCCGGCCTATCCTAGTCCTTCCCATTGCCTTGTGCGCTACGTATGTGCTGTTCCTGAGTCACTTCGCTCTGTGGGCTTGCCATGGTGTTTGGGTAAAACTGTCCGCGTCTGATCCTGGTTTGTGCAGGCACAGGACCTGCATGCGGCACCTTCGAGTTCACCTGCCGCAATGGCAAATGTATCGCGGGGGACCAGGTCTGTGACGGCGACGACGACTGCGGGGACGACTCGGACGAGGAGGGCTGCCAGGACTGCGGCTCGGACTTCGCGTGTCTGGACGGACAGTGTATCCTCTTCGATAACATCTGCAACGGGAAACCCGAGTGCGAGGATGGGTCGGACGAAAACGAAGCATTTTGCGCGAAATTAGCAGCTGGGAAGGGAGAATCAAGGAGGTCTGGTAAGACATGGGAGAACAGGATATTGTTATGTTATCATGATTAATGTGGAAAATACATAACCAGCTTCAATAGGTTGAACGAGGAAGTACAAATGTTGAGTTAAAAACCGATCCAAAATGTGGCATTGTCACTGGTTGACCACTACAACCTTCCATGCACATTGTCAATGAAACTGTGTTTTAAAACTGTTAGTACCGTTCTCTAAATTTTTCATTCGAGTGTCACCACTTTTCTATATCAAGTTCACGTGTCTATAGCTTTACAGTGTTGTTGCATTGCTGTAGTAGATACCCTCTCAGTAACGACATTGATATACTTGTAACCTCTCTTTGCAGGCATTTCAGAAACGCAAGCCGTGAATTTGGAACAGAATCTTCTGGATGCTATTGTGAAGAAGAAGAAGGAGGAGCAGACCGATGGATCGACTGAGAAGAGGGACGCGTTCATGGCCGATCTGCAAAAGGCACACGATTTTGAAAAGAAGTTCTCCAAGGATGGCCAACTGCACGACCACGGGCTGAAAACAGCGCAGGCGGTGCGCGAGTTTCTGAAGGCTGATAAAGCATGGGAGGCCAAGAAAAAGGGCCTGAAAGCACAGGAATACCGTTCGAATGAAGAGGAAGTAGGAAAACGAAGTGCTTTCATGGACGACCTCCTAGACAGCCTTCAGTTTGAGAAGCGGTTCAGCAAGAAGGGAGACCTGTCTGCCAATGAGATGAAGACAGCCAAGGCACTCCGAGAGTATGTTGAATTCGCCAAGGAATGGTCGGAGAAGAAGGGACTTTTTGACGACATTTTTGGCGACTCATCCTCATCTGAAGAAGACTCATCCTCATCTGAAGAAGACTCGTCCTCATCTGACGAAGACGGAGACGAAGAGAAGAAACAAGACTCGTCCTCATCTGACGAAGACTCATCATCATCATCTTCATCGGACGAAGAATCGAAGAAACAAGACTCGTCCTCATCTGACGAAGACTCATCATCATCATCCTCAGAGGAAGAATCGAAGAAACAAGAGGAATCATCCTCATCTGACGAAGACTCATCCTCATCTGACGAAGACTCATCATCCTCATCGGACGAAGAATCGAAGAAACAAGACTCATCCTCATCTGACGAAGACTCATCATCCTCTTCGGACGAAGACTCGAAGAAACGAGAGGAAGAAGAGGAAGAAGATGACTCATCCTCATCTGACGAAGACTCATCATCCTCAGAGGAAGAAGAACGTCGCCTGGCAAATCGGCTCTACGGGCTTATTGAAAAGAATGAGAAGGGCTCGGTTGCGGATAAGAAAGCACTTGAATTGGTCAACATGCTGAAATCTAAGAAGAGCGATGAGGATGACAGTGATAGCAGTGATAGCGACAGCAGCGACAGCGATGACGAAGACAAGAAGAAAAAGGAGGGAAGTAGCGAAGAGGACGACAGCAGTGACAGCAGTGACAGCGATGAAGACGGCAAAAAGAAAAAGGACTGGTTCGGACAAAGCCTGCAGCTGGTGAAGAAGACCCTTACCATGTTGAAGAAAGAAGATGGTAAGTACATTTATAACATAAAGGGCAGGTAAAAATCATGGCCATCGTATTGGTAAATCTGGGATGCCAGGCAAAAACTTAATATCAAGTTACTCACATTGAAATCTTATCTTGAAGTGTACATGTAGAGTTGAGAGAAACACAAAATTGAGTCTATCCGATGTCGAAATTGTACTTGACCAAGCCAACAAAAACATCATTACAGGTTGATATGTAGATGTTACAAATGAATTGCATGTCACTTGTACATGCTGGCTGCGGGAACAGGCAGCAGACAAGGCACGATGGAACGGAACGTCTTTTAAGACTATCGATGTCACACA